GGTTTATTTATCAATAGTTCCTGACATGTTTTATCTTGAAACAACAGAACAAAGAAAGAGGAACATTTATATTTTTCCAGTCAGAAGCAATGAAAACATCGACTGACCTTGAAACTTTCCTATACAACAAGCAGAAGCAAAAGACTTGACATATTTTTACTCAAATAACCATTAAAACAGTCAAATATACTGTCTACTTTCTTGTATTGGATGATTAGCATAATTTTATGATTGCATATTTATAATAAGCTCATTGAAAATTTTCACTGGCAGGTAGGCAGTTCCATCACACCATCAATACACTGTACACGCAGTGGCACTGTGCCAACACGTCTTCCTCTTTTACAAGAAAAAGAAATGTAATCCTTATGAACTGCATACAGTTTTGTTTGCCAACTATATGTAAACCTAAGATTATTTTGCTCCATTAACTGCTCATCCACAGTGCAGGCACCTAAAAAGACATAACAGAAAACAATCCTCAGTTAGTTCATAAAATTTATTTTTTTTAAATAATAATCAATCATCAAAGTGATCAAACTCTGAAATTTTCATATGGATTAATTAACCTTTCACGTTATTTTTCACAAGGTCTTGTTAATTGCTTATCACCATTAGAAATACAAGAAAGAGATTTTCCTAATTCTTAATTTATACGGTCAAACCATACAACCTGAACACATAACCCCTGTTTTGTTACTCCATTGGTCTTCACATTTATACTTTGTGTCATTTAAATAGTTTTAAAATTGCTGGTCTGATCAGATAAAAACTTTTTGTGAAATGATTAAATGTATTGCATATATCAGAACTGAAAGGCATCAATTGTGTAAGTCTGGAGCTATAATGCTAAAAATAAAGCTTCTCTGCATGCACCACAATATCACAGAGACTGCATGTCTTATAATTAAGAGTTCTATTAGAAAAGATGGTCAGTAGAGACACTTGGACAAAGTATTTCCATAACAATACTTTATAACGATATGTGTCTTATTAACTGTCCCGTGTGAACTGATTTAGCTTTATCTAGTTTTTAATAGTACCATTGTTGATATGGTGCCATTACACATTCTATTATCCTTTTTCTCAACTGAATGAATCACAGCAGCAATTATTTCAAATATTTAAAAAACAAAATGTTTGTATCACATTTCAGAAAAAGTACAATATGCAAACTCAAAATGTAAAACTTCTGACTTACCTAAGCATCTCATCTCTCCTTCCCATTTACCATTTCTACAGGTTTTAAATGGACCACCCTCCATAGTATATCGAGAAAAACAGCTGTATTCAACTCTTTCACCCTCTTGGTAATCTGGCTTAGTAAATGACAGGGTGTCTCCATTGGTAACCTGTGGGGGATGTGAACAACCTGAAGACCCTAAGAGAATGTAAGCAGGAACGGAAAAGTAGCTTTAGATGGTGCTTGATCACACTTTTGTCAAATATACACATAGTATACATACAGTTTTGTGAAATATTTCTGACATTATGTGACTATTGTCATTTGTATTTTATTTAGGAAATTCTTGTAATGTCAAACCATTAAAAGTATTTTTAAATGTATTTAATGGACTTTTAGAATAAAGAGTCATGTATCAAAGTTTACATTTCAACTTTGTCATTGAGAGTTACCCAAATAAAATGACCATAATCTGATTGATATCATTCAATTACTAATATATTATCATGACACATTTTATTGTTCTTAATTTCAACTTCAAAAATCATGAGCAGCAATAAATCCATGGTAAAGAACAGCACTTAGATCATATATTAAAAATAATACAATATGCATCTTAAAATATTGACTTACTAATGCATTGCATATCTCCTTTCCATTCACCATTCTCACAGGTTTTATATGAGCCACCCTCTAAATTATAGTTATCCCGGCAAAAGTATTCAACCTGTTCACCATGGTCATAATTTGATCCTTTGCCTCTGGTTTCTCCATTTGGCAGAGATGGTGGTGCTGAACAACCTAAAGCCCCTAGATGAAAGTAGACAATAAGGAAACATTTTATTCACATTAAACTCATTTGTAATCTGTCTCTCTCAAACACACCACACACACTCACAGAAAAAATAGTGTTTACCCTCATTTCATGGAACAAAAAGCCAAAAATGATTACAGAAATTACTTGAATCTCATTACAAAGTCTACAAATGTGAACAAATGAAATCCTTGCATTGCTTTTTTAACCATCCTTCAACAGAAATATTTTAGAAAATAAACTAAAATAACAACAAAAAAGGCCTACAGCATACAGGTGAGTTTATTGGCCAAGCCTTTGGTGCAAACAAGGGTTTTAGTTTCTGCCTCTATCACATACAGCATACTTTTTACTTATTTTTTTTTAAAATGAGGTCTGAAATAACTACCAATATTAAAAAATCCATTCAGCTTTTATTTAGCAAAACATTTTTTTTTATTAATATGTGTTTTTAAAAAACAAAAAGGTCCATATAGGATTCACAGGGTGGCTGGTTTTCCCATTGTCATCTCTCTCTGTGTTTAGCAGGTAAACCTACCATTTTATGCCACCATATATTTCTGTGTAGCTGCCATAAATAGACCTACTATTCTTTAATAAACATAACTTTTTAAATAAATAATACTGAACTCAGACATTTTGGAAGTGGTAGGTCGACTGTTTCTTCTCTTTTTTTTCTAGATTTCTGCTTGTTCTGTTCATTACTGCCCCTCTGTGGTTTTTGCAAGTAGTGCGTGAACTATAAACGTGTAAAGCGCTTCTATGGGCTTGCACAGACCAGCACAACAATCCAACACACGAGTATATCTCGGCTTTTAGGTGTCTCCTGGCTGCCAAACACATGACCACAGTCTGAAGGTTCCAAAGCTTCTTCCAGGACCCCAGCAACACCAGATAACTGTGGCAGGGAATCCAGAACATCATCACATCCATCACCACCCACATGCTGCCAGGACAACATCAGCTTCCTCAATGAGCTCAACAACTCCTTTAGAAGGATTGCAGATTTGAACAACACCACTGCGAGGAAGACCTCCCCTCCACCCGATGCTCACAAACATCTTCAACGTCTCACTGCAACAGGTCAACATCCCTCAGTGCTTCCGATCAGCCATAATAATCCCGTTGCCAAAGGAACTAGCAATCACAATGCTTAACTACCTTAACAACCTGCTTCAAAAGTGTGTTTAAGGAACATTTCACCTCCATACTGCCCTCATCATTTGACCTGTTCCAGTTTGCATTTCAGGACTGCTGCTCCACAGACGGTGCCATCTCCACTGCTCTCCATCTGAGCCTGGACCACCTGGAGAAGAAGGACTCTTCTGTACAGTTTCTGTTCCTTTACCTCTGCTCAGCATTTCATACCATCATCCATCAGGACCTGGTATGCAAAATGGAGCCCCTGGGCATCAACACATCCCTGTGTAACTGGCTACTGGACTTTCTTACCAACAGACCACAGTCTGTCCGAGTGGATGGCAACCCCTTCAGTGTCTTCTCGCTGAACATCAGCTCCCCTAGGGGCTGCATCCTAAGCCCCCTGCTAGTCACACTGATGACACGACTGCCGCTCCAGGTACAACAGCAACCACAAACTGAAGTACATTGTTGACACTACAGTTGTAGGCCTCATTCAGGATGATAATGAGGTGGCCGACAGGGAGGAGTTGTGACATCTGGTGGACTGGTGTCAGGCGACAAAAGATGATCTCTTTTTTCGATAAGACAAAAGAAATCATATTTGACTTTAGATGACTCGGACACTCCCACACATCCTTCTCATTAACGACACAGCTGTGGGAGTCGAGTAGCACCAAGTTCCTGGGGGTGCACATCACTGACGACTTCAGCTGGTCACTCCACACCACCTCCCTGGTGAAGAGGGCACATCACCACACCTGCACTTCTTGCGACAGTTCAGAAGTCCCCCCATCCTCTCCACCTTGTACAGAGGGATCACAGAGAGCCTGCTGACCAGCTGCATCTCGAATCTAGAAGTCAATATTACCTATTGCACCTAAATGATTTTTTCACAGCAATCTTATATTTGTAGCTATATTTATGTAGTTTCTAAGTTATCCACAGTATATATGACTTAACCTAACTACAGACCTTGCTGTACCCAGTATCCAAATAATGGCATTTTGTTGTCAATGTTATGTTGTGCCTTTGTACAATGACAATAAAGGAAGTCTAAGTCTTAAATAATTCAGCCATCTGCAGCACCTGATGTTCACCTAGGGTTCAATGTAATTATTTGAATGAGATATGCTTCAGCAGAAAAGTGTCTAAAACATGCAAGTCAGTGGTACTTGAGGACCAAGATTAAGAACCCCTCCTTTTGCCCATCATAAGATTTTGCTCTTGCGACACCTTGGTGATGACACAC